TTTACATATGATTCACATTACATTTGTACGCATGAAAAGTAGGGCAAATTTAAAGTTGTGGTCGTACTTTTTCTCTCAATGAAGTATTATTTAAAAGCCGACATTAAAAGAGAGATTGCCATAGAGACCATCTTGCTAAAGCTACTTTAAAGCACTGATATTATAATTTCGAAGTACTAAGACTTGCTTATATTTCAGAAAAAACCTAAGCGAATCTGAATCCAAGAGTGTATCAGAGCGAATGAACGAAGCTTTACAAGAAAATGAGATGTTAAAACTAGAGCTGATCGGAGCAGCGGACAGGATAGATAACCTTAAAAGAAAAAATGACGAGAGGAAGACGAAAACACARGCTAAAGTACAAGCATTGAGGTGGGTAACATTGTTTTGAATTATAGCTGTGTTAAATATACAACTAAAGATGGCTTAGCAGGGCTCGAAATAGCGGCCTGCCATTGGCCAAATGACAGGACAAATTCCAGGTTTGCCAGGCGAAAATAAGGATGCACTGCCAAATGAATAATAAAATAGCATGCAAAATTTACTAGAATGACCTCCAATTACCATTCTACTTTCCTATGGCAGGCTAAGAAAGTTTTCTATTTCTAGCCCTGCTTATAGCTATAGCACACTCTCCTCTCACCTTTGGTTTGATTTGTGGGCTCGTCATCACATGTAAGATGAGTTTGTTCGGTCTCTCCGTTGATTCGAGTGTTCTTCTATAGGTTCTCCAGTCTCCACGCTTCATGTGTAAAATCTAAAATTCTAAGTTCGATTTGTTCTGCAAGTTAGCAGTGCCCTGACTTGAGAGATTTCTCTCCTGGTTCAACAGGTTTCTTTCTTTTCTCCTCAAAACCCAACGCACTAAATACTCCAGTTTCGAATTCTTCATTGTACAGGGTTAAACTCGATTTCGTATGGAATTATTTTGAATATTCATGTTTTTCAGTCAAGATCGTGGAATTTTAATGTGTTGTGATGTTCAGGTTGTGCATTCTTTACTTTACCGTTGGTATTTCTCGATATTTGTTCACAGTAATGAGGCTAACCCTGTATTATTGAGTCAGTAATCAATGAACACAGAAGTATTTTACGCAAATGGCCTATTCCAATAGGTTGCTATAAATAGACGTCACTCCCGGTAATAGCTGCTTTTTTAATGGCTTGTAGAATTTTGGAGGCTGCTTTGATGTCTTGTTTTCTGGTTTCATGTCGTAAAAATAGCCAAATACAWTTAGTTTGGGGACTTTTTTTGACATGTTTTGACTTAACATCCGCTAGTTGACCGTCAGTCAACCGCTCGTTTGCCCCCCAGTCAATTCCAAAAAGTCACGTGATTGATAGTAAGCAATTGATGCAAAAAAAAACGCTCGCTAATTTTTTCTATTGCACTTCCGGTTACGAGGGCTTCACGAGTTTGCAACGGAAAAAAAATAGCGAGCGAGACTTGAAGCAAGTCTACAACACGACTCGGTTTTTTATAACAGATGAATTTATGTTTTTTTTCCCTCAAAAGAAACCAGTTTGCACGCGACAAGAGAAACCTAGAAGAGAAGGTGATGTCCCTTGAGAACGCGCTGGGACTGGTTCGAGAACGAGCTCTCAAAGAGGAGGAATGGGAAGGAGCGGCTAATGCGACACTTAAAACACTGCAGCAAGAAAAACGGCAATTATTAACCAAGTAAGTCAGTGGTAAATATTCAAGGTATTATATAGTATTATTTGGGATACCTGTGTATTTGAATATTATTGGGGTTGGGAAACCT